TGCAGTCACACTGTTATAAGAAAGCTATAGACCACACTTGTTGTTCCTGTGTTAGCTGCAAGAGGGATGAGACTTTTCTGTAGACACCAGTCTTAAGGAGGCTAGGAGCCAGCTACTGTCTTACAGTCTGTCCCAGGTATACTCCCCTCACCCCTGGCTTTGGAGTCCAGCCCTTCACAGCTGTCTGACTCTTCTGGGTTAACTTGATCTAACCGCAGGGTGAGTCCCAAACTCTCCAGGTCCCTAGGTGCCTCCAAACAAGCCCTAGTCCAGGTCTGCATCCTTTCCCACTGTTTCCTACCCTGAGATATGTCCTGAGAAGGGGCTCTAGACCTTTTTGTCTCTGCTGGATGAAAGAGTCACTTCAGTGGGCAAAGAGTAAAAACCTGAGGGACAGAGAAGCAGCACCTTATGTGGACTTTTCCTGATTCAAAACCAGTTGACTGTTTTCCTGTGTGTTCCCAGCTCTGTTGCCTCCTATATAGGATGCTCAGTGATCCTCCATTGTACATGTGCAGCTTTGAAGGTGTGTCCATAAGCATTTGCAAGGAATATAGAAGGTAAGTGGTAATAATATGATAGCCAGCAATATTTATGATGGCAAGTGAAGCTCAGGAAGAAATTTTAAGGCTATTTCTATCCTTTTTGTCCTGGTCCCCCCTTCCCTCCCATTTTGGCACCCAAGACTTAGAAAATGAACCAAATTAGAGTGTTTTGGCTTCTGTATTTTGTGCAGGTTGTGCTGCTTCTGTTAATATACTGGAGAGAGCGTCTACACAGTCTATGTCCCACTCTCCCATAGCTACATGTCATTTGGATAATACCACCATAACAGGCCATTTCAGCCTCCCAATGGCTGTCCTTGCCAGTCTGTTGTGCAAAATGGTCTCTTTCACCCTTCATCGGAGATGGAGACATGTGCAGAGTACTACAGTAAATAGACCATAGTTTGTTTGCTTAACCTTTGTCTGGCTGTATTTCAAAACTTACAATTTATCTAGTAACTTTTTCAGGAGGCTGGGATGTTTCTAGGCAGCACAAGCATAGATACCACATAGCAGAGTTAGTTGGGAGGGCGTGACTAATGGGAATGGGAAGATCCACCATGACTGTGGTTTTAACTCCCAGATTTCCCCCATGAAACTTGTGAACTTATCCTGGAAGCTGCCATCGCCTTCCAGGCTCTGTCCTTCCCCTTGGTGTGCTGGGATCTCTCTGCCTCAGGGTTCAGCACCCACCCTGCTATGTCCTGTCCCAGCTCTACTCCTGGTTTTCCTCCCTCAGCCTTGTGCCTGCTTCAGCTCGGTTGCTTCTGCCCCACAGTGACAGACACAGCAGAGAGCTGCAGTGCAGGTCTGTGACTCGGGGTAGCTGCTAAATCTTTGCAAGAGCAAAGCATGCACATTTAAAATACAGAAGTGGACATTCCAGTGGGTGCTATAACAGAGTGCTTTTTTACTTTTGCCTTTATTGGCCCCCCCAATGGATTTAATAATGTTTTCTTTCTGGTTTGGTTTTTTTTTCCTACCCTGTCTACTCAAGACTCCTACATTCTATGAATATTTAAAATAGGACTATTCAGCCTGCAAAGCTGAAAATGTACACAAATTAGCAGTGGGGGAGTTGGGTTTTTTTGAGTTGGATGTGTGTGTTGGGTTTACAGTATCCAGGCTTCTGGTCTTGTTGACATTTGGGAGGGGATTCTTTCTTCCTCCGTGTGTATTCTGTCCAGCAAGTTGACAGTCTGATATTGATTAGGGCTTTTAGATGCAACAGGAATACAGCTAATAAGAAAATAATGAGTTGGTGTGTACTTGTGTGCAGTGCTATCCCCTCATGAATTGTCTGACTGCCAAATATATTAAGAGGTTAACAACTCAGAGGTATTCTTCTGGAGGGGTAGTGATGGAGCCTGGTGGTTTTGCAACTGAAGAGCGAGGGGTTTAGAGCCAGCTGTGCCAGTATATGAAGTTTATCTCTCTATTGTGCCCATTATCATGAATTAGTTACGCTGAGGTGATACTCAGCAAGAGGCAGCTAGCAGTGAGACCAGAAGGGTCTTGAGATGGTTAATGGCAGGGTAAAGAAGAAGAAAGGTGATTTTCCAGTTTGTGCTGCCTGTTCCACTTACCCTTTCTGTGCAGCGAATAATCCCATAGTTAACTGTCAGTAATTTACCATATTTGGATTCCCGAAACAAAATACAATGTTTAGTTCAGCTTTGAATGGCAAGCAGTTACTTATGGAGCTTAATCGTTTTGTTTATGTGTAGCTAGTTACTTACCATGTGGTAAGAACAATAGGCTGACTGGCTTGTTTAACACGTGATCAGAATGAGATAAAACACAGAAAATAGTGAGGCCGTATTTCTTAAACAGACCACACATCGGATGCAGCCTCCTTGGCTGGTTGCAGTGTAGAAAACCTGCTGCATGGCATACCCTTTGTTACAGCTGTGTGTCTTTGCTGTATGTCCTCACAGTCTGATCTGCAGCTAAAAGCAAGTGATATTTCTTGGGCCTTTCTGTTTCACGTTGACTAGGCACCTTTCTGAGAGTTGTCTGACTCAGTGACCAGACCTGGCAAAGTGCACGCAGTGAACATGAGACCATCACCTGAGGCTTTGGCCTCACTTTCCCCCACAGCTTAACCTGGACTGCACCCATTTTGCAACAGAGGCAGCTGCTTTTCTTCTCTTCAGTAAGGAGGCAGGGCAGGTACTTGGGGGGCATGAGCCTTGATTTCTCAACCAGCCATGTCTGTCATGTGGGTTGGGGAGCAAAACAGAGGTTGTTCCAATTAAGCCAGATCTCTGCCAGTCAGCCATGCCTGCTACTGACAGCAGACCTTTTAACAAGGGTGCTCCAACCGTAGCAGAGCACTGTTCTTGTCACGCAGTCCTCCAACCACAGGCACTACCCTGTGATCCAGCATGACAGGAGTGCATGACCCAACATGTGCTTTCCTGCCCAGAACTTGAGATGTTCATTGGCAGGGCTGCCAGACTAACAGAGACAAAAGAAATTTTTTGCTCAGGACTGGAGCTCACACCCTGATGGAGTCCCTTGCATCTTGGGGGGCGGGGACGGGGCGTGGGGTGTGGGGCTGAGGCCAGGTCTCACTGCGTAGCAGAGCTTTTCTGAGCTCTGAGCAGAGAGGACATTGCAGAGATTTTTCTGTTTGCTTCTTCATTTCACTAGTGGCTTTTCCCCTCAAAACATCTGACCTAAAAGTCAGAAAGTTTGCAGAAAAAGACTTATAGTTTGTTCCTCAGGTAGTTTCTATTGGTGGAAGGGTGTAACAGAATTCTCTCTTACACCTACTGGTACCTAAGGACTAAGGTAGATGTTCTCCATTAACTTGCCTGAAGTTAAGTAAGCTGTAGCCTTGTTAATAGCGGACACAGGCATACCAGCTGAGCGAGCCTTCCTGCAAACTGGAGAACAAGTTGCTAACATCTCTTATTTTGTGAATCTGTGTGCAGCTGGGAATGAGAGGCCATTGAAAATATGCACAGAAAATGTAAGTGCAGGACAGCACCTGTAAGCCTAAAATGTTCTTTATCTTACTTTTCCATGATTGAATTGTCATCTGACTGGCACAGTTGTGTGCTCAAATCTTAGGTGCAGTTTACAGTTGTCACCTCCACTTGAAGAGATGTGAATGGAGGCTGATATCCTTTAGGGCAGTATATCTCCACAGCTGTTACTCATCCCTCTTAGATAGAAGCAAGGCTATCTCTTGCTTGCAGAGATAATGCAAGGCAGAAATATTTCCTCTTTGTGTATGTTTGTGGCACACAGAAACCACGTCATGCAAATAACTCAACAAGACCACAATGAGTGTGGTATTCTAGAGAATACTAAAAGTATCATTACCTTCCCAAGCCTTCAGACTATGAAAATAAACTTTAAAAGTCTACTGAAGATTTAAGCAGTAAGAGCCCCTTCCCCTCCACCATCACCCGAATATAACATGAGCTGCTTCTAGAGCTGGAGGCCTTCTCAATAAAGACTATCACTTGTTTTGAGTTTACAAGCATTTACAAGTACAATATAAATTGAAAGGTTAGCATGTCTGCTCTTGCCTTGTCAGTCTTCTGCTTTTGTAATGCACAGCCCAGTAGTCATCACAAAAAAGAAAACCTTCAGAAATGTGTCTTTGAGGAGGGAAAAAACCCCACAAGGATCAATCATATTCCTCACAATAATTCAGCATCTGAGTCAGGGGTTCCCAGAGGCTGACCTGGAAAGCTGCTAAGTATGACCCTCAGAGGGATTTTCAAATTGTGGCTGTACTGCACTGTCATGCAGATTGATTTTTGTTATGCAGCCCCTAGCCTGATGTCCCACCCATTAAGTTGCCCTCCATGGACAACACTCTGGGAACCCCTGAGTTCATCATCCAAGAAAATCTTTATTTTGGAAGACAGACTGAAAAAGATAATTATTTTGTCAAGTATTACCACACCTCTGCAAACATACAGTCTTCTCGTCTGGATGATCTCATGCATGTATTTGTCAAAGTTCTTGCTTTGCTTTGAGACAGCAATTGCAGCAAAACAGTAATATATGCAATATATAAAAAGTTTTTGGGTGAGATCCAGTACAAGCATCTCATGGTGAAATCATTCTTAATATTATTTAACAGCTACCTGGTGTCTGGTCCAGAGGAACTGGTCACAACTACATCTTCCTTTAGACACTTAAGCGAATGGAACATGTGAGCTTGGATGTTGTGTGAATGTAGGGCAAGGAGGACATGGATCATAATTTGTCTCTCACTAAGAATTGTCAAGCACATTCCTCCTCCATTTTTTGGCAGTGGATTGTTGATACAGTCATAGCTGCTGAACAGGTACGAACTCTTCAGCACTCCTTACCAAAGTAACCTTGTCTGGAAACTCTCACCTTGCTCATTGGGAGGAGAGGGAAGGAAAATTGGAAATCTCTGGCTTAAGGAAAAGCATTTGGTACTATAGAAGTCAAGCAAAGATCAACTAACCTACTGGAGCATCACAGGCTGGAAACCTGAATGTTCTGGCAGATGCTGTCATTTTGGGAACGGAGCAGATGGCAGTCCCACAAAGTCATCAGGGTTTTTCTCATGTAGTAGGAAGTGGCATTGCTGCCCTGGATACAAACATCCTAAGAGAGAAGTGAATGAGGTAGTCAGTGACTCCACAGAAGTAAATGCTTGGACACAGCTGATACTGTGAGTTTTGGAGTGCAAGGTAGCAATACAAGTCCTTTGGAAAGAGTATCAGTGTTTCCAGTGAAAGAGGTAATACCTACCTATGATTAAGTCTTAAAAAACAAACAAAAAACCAAACCACCAAACCCAGCAGTCTTAGACAGTCATTGTTTTTCAGCTTTCAAAACTCTTCTTCTGGAGAGTTTTTGCTAATGGGTGGTCTAAAACCAGGCTGATTAAATATCTGATCTGCCTTCCATCACCTTGGAAACAAGGAATGCCTACTGTGAAAATCGTCTGACCCTGGAGCATCCAGGATGGAAGTTCACATGTAAAATGGACTTTCTCCCCTTTTTTTGTTGCTCAGAGCAATAATGCGAGAGTCCACAGTAAGGTCTGCATTTGCAGGCCGTGTGCATAGTGTAACAAGTACATTAAGGTGGCTTATGGCAGACAGCACTTTATGGTAAATGCTGCACTGGAACTAGGATTGCCCGTGTCTCTACTGCTGAAACTAGGGAAAAAAACTACCTTCACAATCCATAATGCAGAGCATGCACCCATGCAGTTTAGCTCCTTATTTACTCCAGCCAGTTTATTGTGGACCATGGTAACTATCTATGTTATATGTCTGTTCTTGCTTGCATCCCTGGGAGATAAGAGGTTGTGCAGTGGATATATTGACAGCAGGGTTTTTTTCCAAATTCCTTTGCCTTTGTTCTGCTCTCCATGCAGCCCACTTAAGTCATCTCTTTCTGTACTGTTGAGTCTTACAACTTCTTCAAGAGATTTTTCTTTTTTGCTGGGCACATCCATAAAACACAAGGAGTTCTACCTTGTAGTCCTGGGGTAGTTTTGTTCTCCTGGGGTAGTTTTGTTCCCTCAAAACATCAGTCTGCATCCACCCATGTAAGTCATCTTACTTTTGTCCCTAATCTGTCTTCATATCTCCAGGCAACCAAGAGACTGGCCTTTCATCTGTCTTGAACTCTTGACAATTACTCAACATTTGCACAAAGCTCTTTTTCTTCCTCCTGCAGTGAAGATAGTACCAAGTTAGGGTGTGTAATGGGCCAGGCTTTTCACTTTCGCGAGGGGCTGTGATGTGGTGGCCTGAAGATGGAGAGTTCCTCGCTGTGTTTGGCATGGAGGCCTGAGAGTCCTTTGCTCCTTCAGGCCTTTTAGGGTTCTCCTTGTCCCACAGGGACTTTCTTCCCCAGCTTTCCTGACCCTCTACTGTGTGGCCAGGTAGATGTTATGGGCTATGCAGAGCCAATGAGTACAGTAGCTCTAAAACATAGTGGAAAGAAATGGAGCTAACACGTTATGTCTGATTTTCTTTCTTCTTTGTCAGAGGCCGTTATGGATTTAACAGTTTATGATAACTAAAAAGTTACCCTTCTGATCCTGTTTTTTCACTGAATGTTTCAAGAGAGATGCCAGGATTACCACCTCTGGTTTGGTGATTGTAATCTCAACACTTGTGATTGTACAAGTAGGATCCTCAACTTGAGTTCACGGCTTGATGTCCTCTTATCATGGAAATTAAGCTATGCTGAATGAAATGTTTGCATCTGTTTTCTTTCCAAGATGCGCAGCTTGGTTTTGAAGATAAATGCTTGCCATTGGGGCAGCAATGTGCTAGGTTTAAGTTTACTTAGCAAAACTTTTTTATCAGAGTGGCTCATGTAACTTGTTAACATGCAAGAAATTATTCAGCTTTCACTTCCTCCACTCCCATTTCCTGTTTGGATGTTGAAAGGAAGCCCTGATTGCTAATTTGTGATTAGCCAGCAACCCAGAGTGAACTTAATCCTGTGGGTTTGCATGGCGCTTGCCTATGCAGATACCGCCTCTCTCAAGAGTGGGCTGCTGAGTCTCACGTTTCACGGTGGGAGCTGTAAACAATCTGCTCTTCTTTCCGTGAATTCATGGCCTGCCCTCTGAGAACAGAGGTAACGCCTGGCCTGCCAGCACACGGGAGACGATGCTAAAAAGTTGGATGCTGTGAGAGAGAGAAGGGAGGCGTGAGGGGGGTTTCCAGTCTTGCTTGCCCAGGAGATGGCACTGTGCAATAGTGGGATTTTTACCTGCAGTGTTTGTGGTGTGAGCGGATCGTGATTCTTTGAGACATGACAGATGAGTGAGGTTCTTGAGTCAGTAAGAGCAGAGTGACTTGTACTTCTTTTAGGATGCCTCAGCATTCTCTTCTGTGTAAAATGCGTCATACTGTATATGCTGTAGGCAGGTTGGGTTTAAATCTGCTTTGCACCCCTTTGTTAGGGAACTGACCTTTGTGCATGCTCTAGTGCAGTCAGGATCAGAACTGGGTTTGTGGGTGAAATTAATCTGGCCATGAATGAACTGGTGATGCCTTTGGAGCACCCTTACTTCCAAGGCTTTTGTGCAAGTCTTTTGTGTCCCCCTTGATAATTCCCAGACCTACTGACAAAGGAGCCAAAACAAAGAGGTATATACATGTAGTATGCGCTAGAAAATTAGAAGGTTTTGTGGAGCCGCCGTAGGATCCCTCTTTCTGTTCTGCATGCAGTGTGCTATGCTCCTGTTAAGAGTACCGGTTGGTTTGGTTTAGTGCTTGTATATAAAACACACAGAACTTTTTTTAAGGAATCTCTGACCCCACCTGCAAATGCGTGATCTGACTTGAGCTGCCAAATGCAAGCTGACGCAGCTGAGATAAATCTAGAAGAATATTCCTGGTCTTCCTTTTCTTAATGTTGATAAGTTGAGACCATTTCCATTTCTCCCTCCAATAACAGCCTGAGATTGGGAGCCATGCAGATCTGTGGGGAATTCTGATCTTGGAATGGATATACTACTTTACAAAATCTTAGGCAAGCTGATTAACCTTCTTACGTTAATTCTCAAAAAGGTGAAGAGGGGTAATACTTAACACAGAGGTGTTACGAATATGTTCATAATATAACTTAAAGCTAGAAATATTATGTGAATGCTAAATACTTTTGTTATTATTAATGGAATCTTAAGCGGCCTATACATCTATAACAAAGGCTTCTTAGCAAACACATGCCCTTTGAAATAGCCTGACCCTTTCCACTTTTTCAGAGACATTAATAGTTTCCTGGCTCAGTGTTTTAGGAAATGTCGTCATAGTCTGGAGGAACCAATAAAAACATAAGTCACCTATTTTGTCTGATCATTTTATGCCAAGATATTTGAGGCTGGAAGCTGTGGAGGGGTAGGAGGGGACTGCTCCATTTGTGTGGGTGGAAGATGTAAAAGTTTTAATACAGTTTTAGTATAACTTTGCATATTAAGACTCTAGAGCCGTGTGAGAAATAGTGTTTTTCGAGTTCACAGGCAGGGGCTCTAGATAGTTCTAGCAACTAGTTAACTAGTTTTTCCCCTTCCTAAGCCATTTATTGCTTCAGTGCCTGATGAAAAGGATGTTGTCTTTGGAGAAGAGTATTTTGTTGGTTTAGGGCTTACATTGTCCTCCAATAGAGGCAAGAGAGCTCTTAAGAAAAGGCAATGCCTTAAAACGAATGTTGGTAAACGATTATGGAAATATGATTGGTGGGACAAGAGCTTATTGGGTATGGTCAATGCAGACCGTTTCTCACTAGTAGAAAATGTAATTACTTAAATTAAGGAACTACTGTGTGAAATCTCAGTACAAAGCATCATTACATGACATTGTGAAAAGCAAACCATGAGTGTCTGTAACAGGCATCTAGTGACACTGTTCTCCATTATAAACGCCAGCATTTACGATGGGCTAAATCCTGCCATCCTTACATGGTTTTGATTCTCTCCTTTCCGAGGCAAAGCCTCTAGCAAGCATGTTAGCAAGTCCTGACCATGATCTCTTGGGTTTGTGGAGAGCAGACATGCATGGCAGTTTTTCCCCTACTGTGCTGTCTCCTCCTGCAAGCTTCAAACAGTCCCTCAGAGGTGGGGAGATCTGTGTTGTTGCTAACGTACGGTTGGTTGCATGGAGCTGGAAGAGACTGCCAGACCCCATTTATCTTCCACCTCTTCCCAGAGCATCCTCCAGAGAAAACCAAAGTTTTTGCCCATTTTTGGGAGGTCATGCACTGTGTTTCCTCTTCTGATTCTATCAGTGTTGGAGACCAGTCTAATGTTTGTCAGCAGTCTAGAGAAACTGAAGGATAACACTTACTTCATCCTGCACAGCTATCTTTTTGGAAATGAACTGTGGCACCAAAAGAGACAACCACCACCACTGCAAGCTGCACCATAATGTATTATGCAGACTCTTCCCCTCCTCATCCACCCCCCAAACTAGAAAAATTAAACATGGTTTCTTCTCCGCTTCTGCTGTAGCCTCAAACGGAGCTGATGTGCAGCTGTCATTCACTAAGGATTCAAACCGTGTTTAGGCTGCAGTTCAGGTACTGCAGACCCCCATTAAAAAAATCATTGAGGATTTCAGAAAGATGCAAAAAGAGGGCATGGGTCCTGAGTTGCCTTGATCAGAGTCCAGTCTGAAGGGAAGGTTGCTACTGATCTACTGCTTTAACATTTTAGGAATGCAGCAAGGTGTTACCACAAGAGTTACACAGGAGGCCAACACCCCACAAATGAACCTTGATGTTAACTCTCCCCAGACATCTGTCCCTTGGTTTTTTTGGAGGCTTTTCTCTCCACCTCTCAATTTAATGTGCCAAATGCTGGTTCTTATTCTTTTTCCCACCCAAGCTGCATGTGTATGCATCAGCCCCGTGGCAGAGATCTTGTGCTCTACTGCTTTCCACTCATGATCACCACTTGGAGATGTTCCATTTAGATTAGCAACAGTGGTTTCCCATTTGTACTTGTTAGGATCTCTTATCCTTTTCTTCTTTGTGTGTACGTTTTGTCAGGTCAGGCCTAGATTTGTCACTGTGTACTGTGCCATGAGATACCCCTTTCAAATTCCCTCTTAAACTGGAGCTGGATCTGTGTGCAG